TGCACGTAACATATTTTCATGTACAAACATAGAAAACAAAGATCAGACATTCCCTACAATTAAACTCAGTTCTGTTTTGAGAGGAGAAATGCTAATTTTTATTCAAGGCATCAAATTTTCAACGTACCCAGCTGTATTATGAAGCTTTGTAATCATAATCAACAGAATGGAATTTAGAATCACTGAGGAGATACACCTGTCTCTATATCTGTGTGGACGTTTTCAGAGCGATTTTATTGAGGAAGGAAGGCTCCAGCCTAAATGTGGGTGAGCCTCTCTGGTTGGTTATCATTCTGGATGGGGAAAGAACAGCAGTGGAGGCCCTGCATGCATCTTCTGATGCTTTCTGGCCATGGGAACAATGTGACCATTTGCCTCGTGTGTCTGTCACCCCAGCTAGAAGCCACCCTTGTTGCCAGGCTCTGATGGACCATATCCTAATCCTAAACTCTTCATTCTTTAAGTTACTTCTGACCGATGTTTTATCACATCAACAAGAAAAGTAGCTAATGCAGCAAGAATGCGCTGTGCAGTTGGCTATGGCAGAAACCTCCTCCTGTGTGGCCAAAAGTGCAAAGTAGGCCTCAATAACACGTCTAAAGGTATGTAGTGCATATTTTCTAAGGAGAATGGATACTTTCAAATTTTCACTAAGCTTTGACAAGTACCAAAGAACAGAAATTCTGATTCCTTGGTTAAACCTGATAATTATACCAGATACAATAATTGTGAAGAAATATAAAAGTAAATATAAGAAAATTTCTGTTGCCTTTTGAAGACTGTCATTTCAGTTTATTAATATTATATTTAGCATGTCTATAGTAAATTAGATGATAGACAGATGATAGAGAAAACTTTACAGATCATATTAACAAGTTCTATAGTTACACTTACTGGTTTGTGTTTTTCACATTTCTTATTGTCTTTTTATTGCTGTGAGGCAACATCATGATCATGCCACCTCTTATAATTAAAAACATTCAATTGAGGTGGCTTACTTACAGTTTCAGAGGTCAGTCCATTGTTGTCAGGATGTGAAGCGTGGCAGCACGCAGGCAGATGTGGTGCTGGAGCTGAGAGTGCTACATCTTGACTCAGAGGCAACAGGAAGTTGAATGATTGTCACACTTAGGTAAGCTTAAGAAAAAGAAACCTCAAAGCTTGTCTCCATTGTGACATGCTTCCTCCAAGAAGGCCACACCTCCTAATAATACCACTCCCTTCAGGGGCCATTTTCTTTCAAACCACTACATATGTACATCTATATCTGAATCTGCCTAAAAAAAAGTTATAATAATAAATCCATAATGACAAAATTTTATAATGACTAATATATAAAAGAAGAAACAGTATGAGGATGTTTTCTGTATTAAGTTACTAAATTACTTTCTTCTTAGGTTAGTGGAACAATCTTTCTTCACCAAAATTCTATGTTTACTCTCATTAATAATAAACCAACTGGATTTTATAAGCATTAAGAACATTTTTTGTTTTTGCATTAGAAATGTTAAGTTCTCAATCTGGCATAATGGCTCAAGTTTCTAATTCCATCTCTCAGAAGGATTGTTGCAATTTCAAGACCAGCCTAGCTTATATTATTGAAGAGTCTTCCAGCCAAATTTTTAGGAATGTATGTTCTTACAAACTTGGAAATAAAGCATGTGAAAAATGAAAGAAGAGCTTACCTTACTGCATTATTGGGTATTATAATGAAATATATTAATAGAAATGTATTCCACTGATTTGTATATTTATTTACAAAATTTAAAAAAAAATGAATTTATTTTTATTTTTAGTGTATGGATGTTTGCTTGCAAGTATGTACAAAGTATGTGTCCACAAAGGCCAAAAGAGGGTTTCAGATCTCTTGGAACTGGAGTTACACACACAATTCTAAGCTGCCAGGTGGGTGCTAGGAATTGAACACCAGTCTTTTGGAAGAAATTTTGTTATTACAAAAAAAAAATTACAGTTTGTTTTGTATAACTTAGTTTCAGCTGTAGACATTGTCAGTACAGGAAAGGGTTAGTAAGTTTGGAAAGTGACCAAAGCCTTGACAGAGGGAGGCATAAGATAACAAGGACCACAAATTCTGTTGTAGCTTTCATTGTTATCCTTAGTAGAGAATTTGGCTTCAAGAAAGGATGGGGAGCCACCCTCCAGACTGGAAGGATGGGGCTTATTGGAGCAACAACAGTGAAGAGGAGGGGGTTGGGGGGGACAAGGCAGGAGCTTTGGAGAGGTCGAACTAGAACAAATCCGGGACCCAAGGTGGCAGGTGGAGGGGGAGGATCACAGTAGCCCTACATGGTCCTTAGGAAGCTACTGAACTTCCAGAGGAAAGCTGCCAGATGGAAGGGACATCACAGAATCCCAGAGGGACCAAAGGTGGTCATTGTGTCCCAAACCTGGACCTAAGAAAGGGGCAGTTCCTAACGGGATGGAAAGAAGATAGGGGGTTATTAAGGAGTGGGTAGCTAATGGGGGATGAGAAGGAAAGAGCGGTTGGAGCTTTATTGGAGCTCCAAGAAGCAGGAAAGTAAAGGAGGAGCTCAAGTAGCTCTAGGCAGTGGGGACTGTAGCAGCAGATACAGCAGCTCAGGCCTGCAGCATCCATGCTGAGTCTGAAGCTGTGGGCTCTTCAGCATCACTGGCTGTACTGTGTGTGTGTGTGTGTGTGTGTGTGTGTGTGTGTGTGTGTGTGTGTGTGTGTGTGGAGGGGGGGCAGGGCTAGCTGCAAGGGCAGCACAGCATCTGGTGGGCACAGAGTTCATGCCAGTCAGTATTCCTGCAGCATGCAGAGGGTTAAATAAGACATGAAATGGCACAAAGGGTTACAACAGTGTTTGAAAAAGTTCACAAAATGTAAGTCACACAGAGGGCTTGGAGCAGACAGAATAGAAAGCAAAGTCAATAAGATGTGGATTTTTATTTTTATTTTTTAGGTCGATAAAGCATTCTCATCAACAATGAGGCTGGTGAGCCAAATTTGAGAGACAGAACATCCTCATATCTCTTGAGAGGCTAAGAACAGAGATCTCTGGAACAGAGGAGTTGTGGTTAAGTTTCTGTCACCAAGAGAAGAACCCCAGTGGGTTCAAGGAAGAATCTAGAACCTGTTGATTTTTCAGAAGGGGAAAGGTCTCTGGATTCTGCCAGTGCAACCACCAAAAGTGAAAGAAAACCTTGCCAACCACAGGTGTAAAAGATTATTTTAAGGTGTGTTATTTTTGTTTATGTTGTATTTGTTTAACTCCATGAAGCTGCGTTACTTTGCCTGTTTAAAACACCTGATGGTCTAATAAAGAACTGAGTGGCCAAAAATGAGGCAGGAGAGAGAAATAGGTGGGGCTGTCTGGCAGAGAAGATAAATAGAAGGAAAAATCTGGGAGGAGAGAAGAAGTAGCTAGAGAAGGAGGAGGATGTCAGTGGCCAGCCTCCCAAATACACAGCCAGCTACAGAGTAAGAGTAAGATTTACAGAAGTAAGAGAAGGGGAAAAGCCCAGAGGCAAAGACAACTGGATTAATGTAATGTTAAGAAAAGCTTGCTAGAAACAAGGCAGGCTAAGGCTGGGCGTTCATAATTAAGAATAAGCCTCCTTGTGTGATTTATTTGGGAGCTGGTGTCAGGCCCCTCAAAAAAGAAAAGAGCAAACAAACAACAACAACAACAACAAAATCAAAACAACAAACCACACCAAACTAAATGGACTGTGTAATGGGAAGTAGAGGAATATAGACAGTTTTAAGGGAAATCTCAGCAATTATCTGATGTTGGGTGGAGAAGGCTTTTGCCTGAAGGTCCAAATGTTCAAGAACTGAGCTAAGGCCTGGTCCTGTAGGTCTATATCCAAGTCATGATACCAACATAAGGGATCAGTATGTTCAGGACCCCCAAGACCAAATCCTCAGCACAGGGGAGATTTATTTGCTGAAGGAGGACATTGGGCAGGGAAAGAAACAAAGAGAGGAGGTAGAGGACAAGGGGGAAGGGAAAGGAAACAAGGAAGAGGGAAAAAGGTTATCTGTCCCAGTGTGGGACAAAAGACTGCCTCTGGACAGAGAAGAGGCAGTGTGGCCCACAGGAAAATAGTTGTTTATAAAGGTAAATGGGAGAACCCTGTGTTAGGATGAGATGTAGTTTGAACTGGGCATGTTAATTAAGTGAGCCAAAGGGAGCATTTGATAACTGGACTACAATACTTTGATAGCTAGACTTTGATTGTCAGCCTCAGGAGAAGGAAGTGACCAAATAAGGGAAAAGACACTGTTGGCGAGCTTTAGGAATGTAATCTAATGGTTTTTAGCAAGGTCAAGGGGAAGGGGAGAAGAGTAGGACCTGCCAGATCCATGTTTGCCAAGCTAGGGCTGGCTAGACTCCCTTCAATTACCTTGCTGTTCCCGTTATGCTTCTTTGACCCAGTGTGCTTTCTGTGAAGACATGAGATATGCTTAGTGTCAGCAGACTATAACCACCAGTGACAGTGTGAAAGTGTTTGATGTACAAGCTTAGGGTAACTGCAATATAAGAACAGTGGCCGCCCAGTAACTTTTCCATGCATATGAGCTTGCAGCAATTATTGCATATGTCTATACATATTACTTTGAATGTAAATGTAAGGTTTACAGAAAAAGAGCAGATTATCAGTCACAGTCATATGCCGAGTCCAGCATGACCTTCAGACAGTCCTTGGTATAGGGGAGTGTGTATTGAGAAACAATAGATATAAAAAATAGAGACATAGATGTAAAAGAAAAAGACAGAGACAAAGAATAGGTTCTGGAGGGCTCTGAGTCAATACCACAGTCTCCCCAAGTTTATTCCTCTTGGGCTTTTTATACAACAGCAAGGGGAGAGGCAAAAGACCTCCCCCTCTCAAGGACACCATGGTTCAAGGCACAAGGTACAGACAAGTGTAAATACTTCCTTAATTCTCAAAACATCTAGTAGTCATGCCTTATAGCAAAGCATCCTCTAATTAGGACTTGAAGTATAAGACACCTGATAACCACGACTTTGGCCAAAACATCTTATGCATCCTTGCTGGGCAAAACTCAGATTCTCTGACCTTGAGTCAAGATGAAATAAAGCCACACTATAATATCTGGAGCATTTCACAAAATCCTGACTCATTTCCTTTCTGAAATAATGAGGTCAAGACAGCTGGATACGCCATTATCTGTTGTCTGAGTTTCTTCTAAGATTGTGGTATAACCCAAAAGTTAGGAATATAAAAGTTTATATTATAATAAGACAATTGTCTTTTTCATTCTGACAGTATGAGAGAAAAGTTTCCTGGTAGTTAGTGACAACCTTCTGTTATATCAACAACTGATTAAATAGTTTTAGAGCTCACACCCTATTTTGATATATATAAACTCTTGTTCCAGGAAAGACATTTTTCATTATCTATTTATGAAATTTCTAAGTTCAAAGTTAATTTTTTAATTATGGAGATCTCCATCCTTTGTTCTGAAAAAAGAACTAGTTGGGTAGAATCATAATTTATTAAGGGATTTAATTTTTTTTTTCATTTCTACAATTATTCCTACAACCCATTTTTTGGAGAACAGTATTCATGTAAAAGCAAACTGTGTCCGGTTGAACTCACTGGACAACAGATTTCAGGATTTCCACAAGGATTGTCATGTGGCCAAGTACTTACAGCACAGGCTGTTGAGATGCTTTTTCTGTACTCTTAAACAGTTGAAGCTAAATGTACACGTTTTCAAGACTTCAATTTTCCCTCACATCTAGATACTCTGATCATGGTTTAGTTAAACAGTAATTGAAAAAATAAAAGCAGATTTTTATCTGAGACAACTACAATAAAGGAAAAAGCTCCAGGATCACATTGAACTCATTCCTAAATACAGTAAATAAAAATGGAAGTTCACAGCCACACATCAGTGCTTGATTGGGGAATCACTAAGGTTAGGTAATTCTTTGCAAAGGTGAGTTATAAGGATTCTTGATGAAGGCAGACCCCCATGATCAAATATCACTTGGAGGTTGATGGGCCTGAGTAGTTTGAAAATATCTTGAGAGAGATCAGATACAGAGGATTGGATATTCTGGCTAAACCATCTAAAATGTTCTTGCTCAAATTCTGCTGATATGAAGAAAATAAGAAACAACTTCTGAATATGAAATATAATAATGTTTTTTCTATAGTTAATGGAATCAGAGGCACTTTAACACAGAGGGCTAAAGATCACTACTTTATCTGTCTTGTAGGAAAAGAGTCCCCTTTGTGTGGGGTTGTTCTATTAACTGATTAAGTTAACTGCCTTAAGGAAAAAATGCATCAAAACTTATATCTGAATTTGCAAGATAAGTAAATAATCATTTGACTATGAGTCCTGAATTATTTTGTAGTCAAGATCATGTTAATAAATTCACAAAACTGGAAGTTTGCATGTTTACTGTCAGTAAAAATTTGTCATGTAAATTCTTAAATATTTTAATATACTTACTAAAATCTTCAAGGAGTAAAAATCTTCATAAGAAATAAAAAATAACTAGAATGGAACCAGAAGAGAGAACTTCACCACACACTTTATGCTTGACAACTACTGCCTATGACACATCCATTTCATTTTTCACACAGAAGTGATGTGGTAAATCTCAAGGGACTATTTCCTGGGAAGGATCAAGCTAGCAGAACACAGCCTAAAGTCTGCTGCCAGCTCTTGAGTGTGAGTTGGGGAGGATGGAATATTGGAAATTAAGTGAAAGAAAAAGAAATAAATAAAATTATGGTGTTGAAAAGGATGGTCCAAGAAAGAATGCAAAGACATGACATTTCAAAACACGTTAGCCCCTCCTCATGTTTAATGAGAAGCACTGTGTTATTTAAAGGGGACAAGAAGTAAAACAATAAAAACAGAATAAAGCAATGCATGAAAACTTTACATAATCATCCATTGCTACTTCTATAATATGAACAATTTCTGAAGCCACCCTAAGCATCATTTATATATCTCTAAGCTGCATGCTTGAAAAGCATTATAATACACATTATAATCCATTACTGATAATGTGATAGAAAGTCATTTATATGACTTTTCTAAACAATGATTCTTCTCTAAAAATAGATAATTACTATTTTAAAAATTTTATTGGTATCATGAGACAATCCAAAGAAATTAATTTGCAAAATATGTTCAATAAATACTCATTTACTTTTACTCGTATTTAATCCTCAATGATCTGCTTTGGGAATTTTTTTTTTTTTTTGCTTTTTTGAGACAGGGTTTCTCTGTGTAGCTTCCGTCTGGCTCTGCCTCCCGAGTGCTGAGATTAAAAGTGTGTGCTACCACAGCCCGGTGGGAATTTCTAATCATTTTCCTGATGCTAATCTAAGTTTTACCATGTTACCTAAAGATTTACATTTATAAGCAGAAAAATGAGGTATTATATACCAAACAATGATCACAGTATCCTAGGTCTTGTTTTAGCCTGTTCTGTGTATTTTAATTTACCTCTTCCTCTCCTTCTCTCTCTCTCTTTCTTTCATTTTATTTACTTATTTTTAGTATTGCTCCAAATTCTCCAAGGTTTCGATTTACTAAACAGATACTGAGAGTCACCCAACCTGTCACAGAGTGTTCTATTCTCTGTAGAAGGAGAAGAAAAATAACCTTAAAAAAATCTCAACTTGCAAGTGTTCAGGCCTGGAATTCTAGTACTGTGGAGGTTAAGAAGGGAAAATTACTATATCAGAGGAGCATGGACAATGAAGAGAGACCTTGTCTTACAAAAATAAATATATAAATAAATGAATGAAGCTAAGGACCACTTATGAAAAGCACATAAAAGTAAATAAAAATAATAGAAAATAAAACCTAAACATTTTGAGTCTTTAAATCCACAGAACAGAATAAAATTAAAAAGCTTTCATTTGATTATTTAAAAAAAATTCAAAACTCACACACAAATCTCAGTAACATGTGTTCCAATAATGAGAATATTATTTTTTTAAAGAATAAGCTAAATAATAATATACAGAATAACTGCTGCTGCTAATTTCAAAATTTTGGGCCCTAAACGTTAACTTTAGTGAAATATAATTTGAGGAAGAGTAGGTCCTCTTGTTCCCCGCCTCAGGTTGGCACTTAAGACAGTCGTCATTGTTGCAGGGAAAAAAATCTGTGTTTGGAGCCTCTGTATCATGAAGGAGTGAAGGAGGCACAGCACAGAGCTATAATCCCTTCACAACTAGAAAAGCACCGTCTACCATGCCAATAATTTTAAGACTCTGACACGTGCATCATACTACATTAACTATATATTAATGACATGCAATTATATTTAATATGCAATTTAGGAAAAAGATTTACACAATATGTAAGACTCAATGAAAAATTCTAGTTTCTCTGTATTAGAAAACTAATTCAGTGTGGCAGAAAAGCTGATAGCAGCTCTATATAATGGCATACACATTGAGAATTTTTCTAAAGTGGTAATTCCAAAGATGATATCAAGTCAAAAAGGCAGGGCTAATTCTAAGTAATAAGTAAGGCACATAAACAGGAAATTTATACCCAGATGCCTTGAAACAGAAAAGATACAAAATTTCTGCAATTAAAATAGAAGTAGAAAATTCTGAAATTACTGAAAGGAGAAGTCATTGATGACCTCCAAGGAAACTTTCAAAGAAAGTAAGAAGGATCAGTGGCCACTCACAGTTTAAAATCAGGTAAGTTTGTGATAGAAGGTAACTTTTGAATAGTAGAATTAAGGAAAGTTTAGGAAAAAAACAACACCAACATCATAACAAGTCTGTTCACCATTCATGGAAGTTTGAAAAATAAAGCTCAAGCAGTGAGTTCCTAGACTGGAGCATAGGTGCTCCCTTTTCATTTACAAGGGAAAATATCTCCCTAAAGGTCACAAAATATCAATCACAAAATAAATGATAAGCGGTACTCAAACTATTGCACTATGAAGAGTGTAAAGAACAAGCTACTGCTTGCCTGAAGCTTCTTGTAAAATAGTGACAAAAATATGAGTCAATTAAAATATACATGTAAGACAGGGGAAAATATGTAAACAAAAGAAAAGGCATTAGGTGGATCACTTATCCAAAAGAAGTTATCCAAATGGCTAACCAGCACAAAGCAAAAGTTAATAAACTAAAACAAAACAACAACAAAAGAAAATCCCATCAGTGATTTCACACAGTTGTATATTTTTAATGCCGTAATACAAATTTTTCAGGCAACATATGCTCATTGATACAATGGCAGTGTGACTGTTTTTTTTTTTAATTAAGAAAATTTCTTCATTCATTTTACACACCAAGGAAAGATCCTCCTCTTCCCTCCTCCCACCCACCCCCAGCCTCCTCCTCACAACCCACCTCTGATTCCCTCCCCACAAGAAGGCAAGGCCTCCCATGGGGAGGCACATCTGGTAGAGGCAAGTCCAAGCCCTTCCCCCTGCTTCAAGGCAGCAGGAGCTGTCCCATCATAGCTAGTGGGCTCCAAAAAGCCCACTCATGTACTAGGGATGGATTCTGATCCTACCACCAGGGGCCCCCAAAGCAGATCAAACCACACAATTGTCTCCCATGCAGGAGGGCCTAGTCCAATCCCATGCAGGCTCCACAGCCATTGATCCAGCTTTCATGAGTTCCCACTAGTTTGGTTTGGTCATTTTTGTAGGTTTTCTCATCATGATTCTGATATACTTGCTCATAGAATCCCTCTAATCTTTCTCTTTGACTGGACTATTGGAGCTCTGCCTGGTGTTTAGCTATGGATTTCTATATCTGCCTCCATTAGTCATTGGAGGAAAGCTCTCTGATGACAGTTAGGTTATTCACTTGTCTGATCACCATGGTAAGCCAGTTCAGTTCAGGCACCCTCTCCACTGTTTTTAGTAGTCCATGCTGGGGTCATCCTTGTGGATTCCTGGCAAACTTTCCTAGCACCAGAGGTTTCTCTCTGTCCCAATGATGTCTACCTCTATCATGGTATCTCTTTCATTGCTTTCCCACTTCACCCCTCTTCCAGCTTGACCATCTTGTTCCCTTACATTTTCATCCCCCATTCCCTACCCTTCATTGCCCACCCCTCATCCCCAGTTTACTCATGGGGATCTCATCTATCTTCCCTTCCCAGGGTAGTCCAAGCATCCCTCCTTGGGTCTTCCTTGTTTCATAGCTTCTCTGAAGCTGTGGGTTATTGTCTGGTTATCCTTTGTTGCACATCTGGTATCCACTTATTGTGGTGGTATTCTAATTGTACTGAAATGTGATTTTGATTGTATGTTAATAAATAAAGTTGCTCGGGGGTCAGAGCTATTAGAGCCATAGACAGAGTGTGGCGATGGTGGTGCACGCCTTTAATCCCGTAGATCTCTGTGTGTTCAGGGATACAGCCAGCATTGGAGATATATGCCTTTAAGACCTGGGGGCTGTACATACAGACAGTGATGAGGCAGTCACGTGTTTGGGTTTACAACCAATGAGAAGGCAGAATGACTCTGAAATGACTTACACACAGGGAAATAGCTCTCTTTTGGGAAGCTAAGACTACCGCAGGAGGAAGGGTGAGATTTTAGCTCTGAGCTCTGACCTCTTGGCTTTCTCTTTTACATTGGTTCTGTGTTTCTTATTTAATAAGACAGTTGGTTACATCTACAACTTATGAGTGAGTACATACCATGTTTGTCCTTTTGAGTCTGGGTTACCTCACTCAGGATAATATTTTCTAATTCTATCCATTTGCCTGCAAATTTCATGATGTCATTGTTTTTCTCTGCTGAGTAGTACTCCATTGTGTATATGTACCCATTTTCTTAATCCATTTTTCAGAGTGTGACTATTATGGGATGGTAACTAATTACTACAACTGGAATTGAGGCCAACCCCACACGAGAGAATTCATGTAGTATACTATGAACCTGGGCAAAGTAGCCAGTGGTGGTTATGCATGCCTTTAATCCCAGCACTGGAGGCAGAGGCGAGCAGATCTCAGTAAGTTTAAGGTCAGCATGCTCTACAAAGCAATTTCCAGGACAACCAGAGCTGTTACACAGAGAAACCCTGTCTCAAAAACAAAAAACAAAAAGCAAAAAACAAGGAGGGGGGGAAGGTGAGAATAAAAAACCTGGTAAAAGAAATGTGACTCAGTAAGTCATTGGCAAAAGTGAGAAATTTACTGGTTTATTGTATTTTTTTGTTTTTCCCTTTGGCTAAATTGCCTCAGTATCAAACAATCTTCTAAAGTGTTTAAGTTTTGCTGGGCGGTGGTGGCGCACGCCTTTAATCCCAGCACTGGGGAGGCAGAACCAAGCCGATCTCTGTGAGTTCGAGGCCAGCCTGGTCTACAGAGTAAGTTCCAGGAAAGTCTCCAAAGCTACACAGAGAAACTCTTCCTAAAAAACAAAATAAAACAACAACAACAAAAAAAAAAAACCCAAAACAAAAAAGTTTAAGTTTTTAGTGGTACACAAATTTTATCCTCCCCTTTTATCAGGGAAGTCTTTTTGTGCACTTCACCACGGTGAATGGAGAGAGTCATGGTTCCTCAAGGTGTGTCTAATAAGTGACTGTAGTGCTCAGCCCTACAGAGGAAAGGTCGTCTGTGACTGAAGAGCAGAGGGGGTAGGTACCATGAGCCTGGGACAGCAGCTATGAGTTCATATCTTGAACCACAAGCGGGATGAAGAGAGGGTGCAGTGGAAATCT